AAGGGAACCAGGCCAGGGGCTCCCTGCTCACGCCCACCTGCGTCTGCGCCCCCAAGGCCCTTCGGGCCTCTCCTATGCAGGGTCATCGTTTTTTAAAACAGGACAGATTTGAAAGGAAAAGACTCTTCTCTAAGGGAGAGAGATTAGAAATGCATTTAAAAACAACAACAATGTATCAAGAAATGCCTGAGTGGGGCTCTCAGGCGGCAACAGTGTTTCCATAAAGCTTTTTTAAAAGGTCTTAGAGGCGAGCCCTGGCCGGTGTGGCTCCGGCGGTGGACTGAAGGGTCCTGGGTTCGATTTCGGCCCAAGGGCACATACCCCGGTTGCAGATCCGATCCCCAGCCTCGGTTGGGGTGCGTGCAGGAGGCAACCAACCGATGTGTCAACCAACCCATGTGTCTCTCTCACATGGATGGTTTTCTCTCTCCCTCCCTCCCTTCCACTCTCTCTAGAAATCAATGGAAAGAATATTCTTGGATGAAGATCTACCAAAAAAAAACACAAGTCTTAGAGAAGAGCCCTCTAGTGTGCGGGCCTCTGTTTCTAAGGGGAGGGGAGGAAGTGATTTGCACTGAGGTTAGTGAGCCATTTGGTGGTTGCATGTATTTTTAATCTCTGCAGGTTGACGGTGAAGGGGAAAGGCCCGAGTTTGGGCTAAATCGTAACCTTTACAGGAAAATCACACAGTCAGTCCCGCCCACCCGGCCTCCGCTCCTCAGAGTATCGTAATGGCCAATGTGGGGTATTCAGGGTTGGAAGCGGCTGCAGGAAGGGGGCCCCCACACTTCCTGGGACAAATGGTCTTGGTTATGGTCTTAACACCCCTGTGCCCAGGCTCTACCGCTGTTTCATGTGACTCATCCTGTGCGTACAGTTTTCTTCCTCCTAGTTTTTCTTATATTCTCACAAATATCTGAGTGCCTACTATGCGCCAGGCACTAAGCGACAATGGTGCCAACCTGTCTCCATCAACCGCTCCTGCCGAACGCTCCCTTCCGTTAATCTTTCCTCAGGTGGCCTCTTTGACCAGGTGTGCCCCTGCCCTCCTGACACCTATCGGACCTCAACGTGACAGTTTTCACCTGTAGGCAGGTAATTCACAGCCCAAATTCCCGTCGCCCGTTTGCTAACCCCCACCTGGATGCTTTGGCGGCTCTCCGCGACTCTCCGCCTCCCCGCCTGGGATCCTGCTCTCTGCCCTGCCCCCTCCTCGGGTAAGTCCCCATGGATTCCTGCAGCCAAGCGCCCCACTCCTTTGCTCCCCGGCTGCTCTGGTTCAGGCCGCCCCGCCTCCAGCTTTCTAACCCGGTCTCGCCGCTGCTTCTATCACACCTGCTGTCTGCCAGTCCCACTCCTGAAGCCAGCCCCCCTCTGGGCATGTTCCCGCTGTGCATCGCCTACCTCTCCCTCCCAAGCTGTTCCCCCTCCACGGCCACACTCTCCTGCCCCCTGACCCTGCTCAGGCCGGTCCTCTGCCTGCAGGGCTCCCTCCCCAGCTCCCAGCTCCCAGCTCCACACTCGCAGCTTCCGCGGCAGCCCACGCTTAGACCACTCCGAAACTCTCCTCAAACCTTAACAATTTTCTACCTGGGATACGTATGGGACCTGGAATCAGAAAAAAAGTTAAATCAGCCTATCTGGGTCGTTGATGGCAGAAGAGAGTCGTCACATCCATTCCCGAGGGTCTGGGAGGGAGGGGGAGGGGTGCTTAGCTCAGAGTCACCCTCCAGTAAGCCCAGCGTTTCTTCCGAGTGTCATGTGTGATCTTGCAAATTTGTGCAAGGTTTTCATTTGATTTCATAACACGTATCTATTTTAGCAAAAAAAAAAAAAAATTCACATAATTTGCTAAATTGTCCCCCAAAACTTTCAAGTAAAGCCATCACTCCAATAACTTATCAACTCCGCCCACCAATGGGTGCGTTTCTGAGGCACCCAGGCAGGGAGATGTCGCCTTAGCCAGTCAAGCTGAGCAACTTGCTTTTTTGAACCTACATTCCATTCTGTAAAATGGGCTGACAGTCCTTACTGGTTGTTCTTATGAAGAGTAAATGGGGGCCACCGTGAGAGCTCTGCGAACCGCACCTGCTGCGGGATCGGCAGCACCGTCGCCGGATGTTTTATTTCCACGGGCGCTGCAGAGTGTCCCGGCCGTTGGTCTTAGCACTCCGGCATGTTGCGGTTGGGTTACTGGAGGGGGGGCCACACCATGAAGATCCCGTGGCCCCTGGGCCACCGGCTACGCCGGTCACTTCTGGGACATGGCAGAAGAGGCCGATCCCAGCAGAGCAGAGTCAGACAGCCGCCCTGCGCCCCCCCGTGTGGGCTGCAGGATCCGCATTGTGTGCTGTTCCCCGTGTGTCCCCCACCTGGACACTCGCCTCAGGGGCCAGCTGAGCGGGGTCCCAGGGGCCCAAGGTGCAGGGGCAAGGGGCCAGGAGACCGGTTGGGAGTCTGGCCAGAGCAGCCCCAGGTGGCTGACCCAAATCTAGCACAGTTCCACCCATCCCGGGCTGGTGTCTGAGCTACCTTCGGGGCGACTGCTCCCACAAGGCTCCCGGGCAGGGTGACGGTAAAAGTATTTAACGTCTAAGGTGGCGCAGACGCTGACCGACTGGAACGGACGCCGGCGGGCGGTAAACTGGGAACAGCCGGGAAACCAAGGGGATGGCCAAGGCGAAGGGACGCGCTTTAAACCAGGGCTCTGACGCTATTCCAAACGGCCCCACAGGCGTTTGACTGGATTCAAGACCCATTAACGTTACTGCAAGAAATTTCAATTGTACAATTGTTCATGGAAGAAAAATAAGACGTTTCTTTAACTGTTTTAACTTTTGTCAAACGTTACAGTTTTTTACTTTTAGTACCTAGTTGAGTTTCTGATCTTTCGAGAAACCCTGGCTATCAAGAACTTGAAGAGGCCCTCCCTACAAAGTCCTGGCCGTTACTGCTTATGGCCATTTCAAGCATAAAACCTGATATTAAAAAGTTATAGTCACAGAAGAAAGCTAAGATTTTGAAAATATCTTATTTGGGAATTTTGGATAAGCTCAATATGTAATACTGTCTCTAATACTTTCACTTTATGTTTCAAATCATAATTATACAATATATAGAAAACATAATTATTTTTTTTAACCAAAACACATACGAATGTCCCTAAACCTGCCCCCCACCCCCAGTTGGTGAGTGGGACATACCAACTGTGTCATTTTCTCTGTGGACCAGGACAGAAGACAGGTTCCAGGGCACCTTTCCAGTCACCCGTAAGTCCCAGTGCCGGCTGCCTCCTCTAAGCCAGCCTCCAGCGCAGGGCCTTGTAAAACCCAAGAAAGAGAAGCAGTGTGGGGGCAGGTGGGTGAGTGAGCAGACCTGCCGGAGGCCCTGAGAGCAGCGGGGAGGTGACTGCTCCAGCCGGAGCACCCGCCAGCCGCAGGGTGTGAGGAAAACACCGCGTGCACCCTCGCCGCCTGAGCTGCTCCCTCCGGCCTGGTGCCTGATGCCAGGGTCCCACAGGGCTCACCGCTCGGAACTTGGAGCTCGCACAGGCCTGGGAAAGATCTTGTCCCAACTCCAGCCTCCCCGAGACACCAGCCGTCTACCTTTCCCTTCCTTGTTCCCTGGCCCTTAGGAAAAATATAGATATTGTTGAGCGTGTTCAGACACTTTTATCAAAGTTCGTCTGAATCTCCACTCTTCTGCTCCTTTTACCTGTAAACTCCCACACTCAGCAATGCCTCAGGGGTATACTTTACACACACGAGTGGAATTATCCCCAAGAATAGCCTCGCTTTTTTAATATAGGAGATAAGAACACGTACTATTTGTAAAGTTAATTTATTGATGGATTGATTTGAGAGACAAACATCGATTTGCTGTTCCACCTACTTATGCATTGTTGGCAGATTCTTTTTTTTTTTTAATGTTCTTATTATTTCAGAGAAAGGAAGAGAGAGGGAGAGAGAGAGAGAAACATCAATGATGAGAGTCATTGATCGGCTGCCTCCTGCACGCCCCCTGCTGGGGATCGAGCCCACAACCCGGGCACGTGCCCTGACCGGGAATCGAACCTCAATCTCCTGGATCCTAGTCGATGCTCAACCACTGAGCCACCCGGCCGGGGCAGACCATGTACTACTTGAACATGAGACTGGTTGTTTAGAGTCTATTCGCCTCACCGAGTGGACACCTGGAGCCTGATTAATCTGACCACTTTTATCCCGACATCAAAGTAATCGGCCCTCTTGGTTTCTCTCTCGTCCAAAATGAGAAAGGGAGGGCGGAGCGTGAATTTCAGGAGAGACCCACCCGGTGAAGTTTCGAGAACATCACATTTTGCAGTTTCAAAGTTGAGCCAGGAGGGGGCACAGAGGCCTTCTGCTTGTCAGCTGACGGAAGGGGAGAGTTTGGGAAGCGGAGGGCGGGCTCCTCCCTCCGCCCATCGGCTGACACACAGGTCACGTTGTGAGTCTGATTTCATCCTGGGACCGCAGCAGTTTTGTCATAAAGTTAGCTATCTTTATTTATTTTTATTTTTTTAATATATCTTTATTGATTTCAGAGAGAGGAAAGGAGAGGGAGAGAGAGAGATAGAAACATCAATGATGAGAGAGTCACTGATCGGCTGCAGCCCGCAACCTGGGCATGTGCCCTGACCGGGAATCGAACCCTGATCGCCTGGATCCTAGGTCGACGCTCAACCGCTGAGCCACGGCCGGCTGGGCTAAAGCTGGCTATCTTAACGAAATCCCCTTTGCCGCCCAAGGAGGTCAGCCGCGTCCGAGCATCTCCTCTCCCTGGGCAAAGCGGAGCCTGTGACAGCGAAGTGTCCCCAGTGCCCGGTGATGGCCGCAGCTGAAAGGACACCCTCAACCGGGCCCTCAGGGAGGGAGGCGGCGGACAAACGCAGGGACTGGCTGTTCACTGTAAACCGTGTGCTCTGGGTAAGTATATCTGCCTCGAGTCACTAGAAGAACTGGAGACTCAATAATTGATGACTAAAGGGACCGACTGTGGCTTAAAACTGAGGTTCTAAGGTGACACAGAGCCCTGGGACACACGGGAAAATGCTGTTCAGACAAGTCCATGTAGGAGCCCTCATGCCGGGCCGCTCAGTGTCACTATACTATCATTGCACGTGTCTGAAAGGTGAGAGTGAGCCCTCGAAGTAGCCAGAGGTCTCACACAGTAAAGCTTGAGTGAGACGACGCAGTGTAGTAAATCAGGGGTATGGTAAAGTACTCGTCGTTCCAGTATGGCCTGCGTTTACACCCCAGTTTCCTTCTGAGTTCAGCACCATATATATTACATCTCATAGCCCTGGAAAATAAGTAATATGTATTGTTTATATCTGATAAGGAGACCGCGGCGCCAAAGCAACTTCCTCTCCGGGGCCCAGGATTAGAGATGGTCTTACCCTGCCAGAGGTTTCGGCCAGCCTGGCTGGGACGGGGGCAGGGTCATTCCCTGGGTAGCCAAGGGGGTCCTGACATCACTCCCATCGCTGCTATCAAATCTCTTTCAGCGCTACTCTGGCGGGGAGGCTCAGTTGGTTGGAGTGTTGTCCCGAACCCCAAAAGGTTGCAGGTTCGATTCCCGGCGGGGCGCCTACCTGGATCGCAGGCTCCATCCTGACCCGGGCGTGTATGCGAGGCACCCAGTTGATCCCTCTCCCTCTGAGACTCTCTCCCTTCCTCTCTCTAAACATATCCTCGGGCGAAAATTAAAAAAAAAAAAATTGTTTCAGAACTTCACTTAAGTTTCAGATCCAGGCTCCAAATGTTCATTCTGTTACTTAGGACTGGTTTCTGGAGCCATGACCAGCAGCTAAATCCTTTGTCTCAGCTCAGACAGCAGAAATGGAATTCAGGCTTTCTGTTGTCTAATCTAACACCCTGTCCACCACCTTGCGGATGGGTCAGATAGACCCTTTACTTTCTCTCTCTTTTAATTTAAAGGTTTTAATTTCCTGTTTAAGATATTTTTCCCCCCTGCGGTAGCCTCTTCAAAAGGAATTTAGAGGCGGGTAGCTATCGCTCTTAGATATAAAAGCTGCTTCTGGGGATCGAGCCCACGACCCAGGCACATGCCTTGACCAGGAATCGAACCGTGACCTCCTGGCTTATAGATCAATGCTCAACCACTGAGCCACACCCGCTGGGCTGCTTTGTTGTTTTCTTTTTTATTACACATAACTTACTTCTGCAAAACTTTTATTAAAAAATATTATTTTTTTTCTGATTACAAAAGCAATACATGTGCGTTGGACAAAGCCAAAGTCCACCATAGTCCACACCTACCAAATCGAGGTTATATTTCAATGCATATGAGGTGTTTGAAAAAAATCAAAGCTGGGGTTAGCCTGTATAGAAAGTAGTTGGCAACTTCCTTTTTCACCTTAAAATGTCTTGGAAATCTTCAAGATAAGCTTTCTTTAAAAAAAAAAAATCTCCTTTAGCCCCCCGGGCGTCGCTCAGCAGTTGAGCATCAACCTAGGAGCCAGGAGATCGAGGTTTGATTCCTGGTCGGGGCACATGCTCGGGTTTCGGGCTCGATCCCCAGTCGGGGGCGTGCAGGAGGCAGCTGATCCATGACTCTCATAATTGATGTTTCTCTTTCTCTCCCTTTCCCTTCCTATCTCTGAAATCAGTAAAGATCTATTTTTTTTTAAATCACCTTTAATTATGTTATTTATATAGCCCAAAATTTACCTGTTCCATTCAATGATTTTTGTAAGCTGACGCAACATCACCATGACCCAGCTTTAGAACATTTCCCTCATCCCCAAACATTCCCTGGCACCTGGAAATGTGCCTTTTTAAAGGATGCGCTTTTGCGGATAATTACGATCCCAGAGAACAAGCCCCAGAAATGTCCACCCTGCTAGCTCTCATTTCCTGCTGGCAGGCAAGGCGAAAATGGCAAAAGCCCATCAGCAAATGTTGGAAGAAAACACCACGAGCTGATCGACAGCTGTTTGCTCAAAATAGTTTATTCATCCGCTCCAGCACTACAGAGTAGCAGCCAAGTGCTAGCCATTGCTTAGGTCTGCAGCGATACAGCGACAAGGCAATCGCTGTCTTCTCCTGGAACAAACTGGGTTTCAATGCTGGGTTCGATTGTATCCAACCTAATTTAAGTTTCAATACTCAAAGGTTTTGACTGGTAAGTGCTCCAGGTGGGAATGCTGTTTGGACTTCCACTTCTAGAAGCCGAGAGAGAGATACAGGGACCAGATTTACTTTCCCACCTGAAATAGCCACGTGAGAGACCAAAAAAATGTGAAATGATGTGTTTTCAATACAGTGGACATCAAGCCACCATTTGGCTTCATCCAAGTTGCCAGTAAAACTGCTGAACAAGGCAGAGAGCGCTTTATTTTTTTTAAATGTCTTTATTGATTTCAGAGAGAGGAAGGGAGAGGGAGAGAGAGATGGAAACATCAATGATGAGAGTTATTGATCGCCTGCCTCCTGCACGCCCCCTACTGGGGGGATCGAGTCCACAACCTGGGCATGTGCCCTGACCGGGAATTGAACCGTGATCTCCTGGCTCCTAGGTTGATGCTCAACTGCTGAGCCATGCCGGCCAAGAGCACTTGAGTGCAATCTGGATAGATCTCCTCCCTGTACACTTGGCGCCTCAGTCATCATGCTTGGGGGAAAGGACANTGCTGAGCCACGCCGGCCAAGAGCACTTGAGTGCAATCTGGATAGATCTCCTCCCTGTACACTTGGCGCCTCAGTCATCATGCTTGGGGGAAAGGACAATTCTGAGATTAAAATCACATCGGATAGAATCAGTGGTAGGTTACACATTGCCCCCAAAAAGATTAGTCCACTTGAAGATGAAAATAGCAGAAGTTACCTAAAATTGGTCAAAGATAAAAGAATTTTTTTAAAAAAGGAGTAACAGTTACACAGGGCTGTTACTATTCAACGCAGGCGCGAGGCCAACAGCGCCCTCTGCGCCTGGGAGCCTGTCAGACACGCAGAAACCCTCCGGCCCTCGCAGACCTGAAGATTCACAACACGCATTTCAACAAGACCCCCAAGTGTTTGCTATACAAACTCCAGATTGACCAGCACTGATGTCTGGGAAATAATTTCCCTGGTCGTGTTTCCTTTTGCATGACAAAAAGGGCAGTGAAACCCGCCCGCCGTATTTCACTAGTTCATGATTAGAATGAAATGGGAAATCCAATCCAAATATGTTAGGTGCCTGTGAAATATCAGACTTCCTGATAAACGGTGAGTTACGTACAAGTCCCAGGCACACCACAAGTCTTTCTGGACTGAAAATGCTGAACAGCAAAAAGACTGCCCCCGTTATTAGAAATCCTAAAGCCAAGGCCTTTTTATTTTAAAAAATGTCAAAGACATAAACTTTATTTTTTAAATCCTCACTTGAGGATATTTTTTCCATTGCTTTTCAGAGGGAGTAGAAGGGAGAGGGAGAGAGAGACAGCGATTCTCTGTTCCCCTTATTAATGCATCCCTGGCTGATTGAACCTGAACCCAGGACCTTGTCCTCAGGGGGCGGCATTAACCAACCGAGCAGCCAGGCCAGGCCAGGCCAGGGAATAGCTTTTAATTATCTTTTTAAATCGAAATCCGTTATCCTTCAGTCTACGACGATTCAAGACAGCAGTTTCAGGAAAGCAGCATAGTGGACAGTTCCTGTTGACCATGTCCCTCCTCTGGCCAAAGCGACGAGCTGGACGCCGGGAAGCTGCAGGAAGCCACGCCTGGGGCTCCCGCCCGGCCCTGGTTTCCCGGACGCCGCTGCCGGGCCAACCTCGGCCCAGCTGGACAGGCAGAGCCGGTTCTCTTGAGCTGCGCTCGGGAGCGGACCGGGCGCGACCAGCGCGGCCCTGCGGCGCCCCAGCCGCCAAGGCGGTCCCGGGGGAACAGGAGCCTGCGGAAGCCGGGGCGCCCGGGTTCGAGCCTCGGAGGCGCAAGGTCTGGGGCCGCCCCCGGGGCTCCCGCCAGAGAGTTGCCCGCAGCCAAGGCCGCCTAAAGCCCCCGCGGGCCCGGGCGCGGCGCCGAGCAGCAGCCGGGAGTGATGCTCCCGCCTCTCGCTCCCGGGATAACGCTGCTGGACCCGAAGCCCAGCTGCCGCTGAGGTCGCCTAGCAACCAGGAGCCCAGAGCGCGGGCGCCAGTCATTGGCCAGCGCGCGTCACGTGAGCGGGCGCGCCCGCCCTCTGGGAGGTTACGCCGCACGCACGCGCTGCCGCGCAGGCGCGTTTCCACCCTGTTCTCCGCGGCGGTGGAGAGGGTCCTGGGGGCGCATCACGGAGACAACGCCTCGCATCGCCCCACATCCCGGCCAACGGGGCGCGACCGGGCAGAGGCGAGCCGGGCAGTTGGGACGTTTCCGTGCCAGCCGTAGGGAAGCGACGCGACGGAAGCGCAGTTGCGTGCGTGAGGCCGGTCCGGTCGCGCAGGCGCGTTTCCTGAAGCGGAGGCTCGTCCGAGGCGGCGTCCGCCTCCCGGAACCGAGTTCTGACCCAGAGGTTCTGACCCGGCAAACGGCTGGGATGGCGAGAAGCGTCCTGACAGATGCGGGTGGGGAGTCAGGGACGTTAAGGGTGTCGAGTCGGGCGGCGGGTCGGAGAGAGGCTGCCCTGGGGCCCGCGGGGCGAGCGCGGGGGGCGGGGCGCAGCGGGCGCCTTGCGGACTTGGCTCTGGGACAAGTCGAGCTCCCGCTGGGGACTTAGGGGGGTGACTCCTGCAGCGCCTCCCGAGGGGGGCAGAGCCGGGCCCTGCGCGCGTCCGTGCACGACATCAAGGCCCCAGCCGCACCCCCGGGTGCGTGAGGCCCGGCCCAGGAAAGGCCGCGTGAGCACGGGACTTGGGGACGTGGCCGCGTGGCCCAGCGCCTCTCTTTTTTAAAACCTTCCCGGGAGGGAGGTTGTCGGCGACGCCGCCCCTCCCTCCTAACCGGCTTCCCGCCGGCGGGCGGAGTTCAAGTCCCGCGTCGGCGGGGGAACACTGGCGCATGCGCGGTAGCCATCCTAGGTGGCTCTGCTGGGCCCACATTCAGCGCATCCGCCTTCGAAATGGGCTCAGAATCTGCCCGCTTCTCGCTGCTGCACGGCTGCCACCCCGGTCACAGCCTCTGCACGTGTCATGCATGACCCGTGATGTTCCACCCGGGTGGTTGCAGCCACCCTCGAGCCTGACCGCTCTTGCCCTCCTTAGGTCAGCCCGATCTCCGAAGGCGCACGTGGCCTCATCCCACTTCTCTGCCCAGCGCCCTCCCGTGGCTTCTTCCTCTCTTAGTCGGTAAAAGCCAAGGCCCGCGCACACAGTCGAGTCCCATGGGCTCCTAGCCACTCGCCCATCGATCTCTCTCTCGAAAGGGGGTGAGTATGCTTCCCCATGTAGGCCTTGGCACTTGCTGTGTGCCTGCGCCAGGTGTGCTTTTCTTATGCCGACCTGGCATTCCTTCACTTCATTCGTCTGCTGCCATGTCACCTTTTAAGACAGACTTTCCCTGACCTTGTGTCAAGTGGCAACCGCTGCCAGCACCCGTTTCCCACCGCCGCCCCTCCCTAGCTCCCTCTCAGTTGCTGGCTTCCCGCCGGTAACACTTATCAACATCTGACACGTTTTATATGTTGTTTTCTATGTCCGCCACCCCTACTAGAACGTGATACGCTCCACATGGATAGGAATTTTGTCTAGTTCCCTGCTGTACCACTAGTGCCTAGAACCACTGTCTGGCACGCAGTAGGTGTTCGTTGTTGAAGAAGTGAATAAATGGTCTGTGCCCATGCACAGGCCGAAGTTGTTCCAAGCGGCTGATATTCAACATACCCACAATATTGTCATGATTTTGACATTGGCAGTGCCCACTCTCAGGATGCCTTGTATCCACTCTGTATCTTGAAAGCTGGCTCTGTACTCTTAGCCATGACTGAGATTCCTCCGCACTGTGGTGTGCTGTTCCAAGGACAAAGGCATTCAAGTTTTTCATGAAAAACCAGGAGTTTCTTGAAGACAAAGAATAGAAAAGAGCAATTTAACTACTAAGGTGGGTATGGAACTAGGTATATATCTAGGATAGATCAATTAAGCTCTGCTCAGATGTCAACAGAGCAGGTGAAGGAGGCTTGTGTCAATCCAGAAGGTTCTTGGGAAAATTTACCTTCGCTGCCAAGTTCCTTTAAGCCTAAAAATCTACAGCTGATGACTAATCCTTTATTCCATATTAAAACGCAAATACCCTAAGAGAGAGGATATTGAATTTCAGCAGTCATTAGCACCTTTGTGTGAATTACTCCGGAATCTTTCTTGAAGGCAGGTTTGGAAAAGGCAAGGGGAGAAAGGAGGAGCTAAGGAACAAGGGGAAGAAAAGTTCCAGAGCCAAGGAAGGAGCATAAAGCTGAGCTTGCCAAGGACAAACTTTGGCCTGTTTTATAGTTTCGCCCAGGGCTGTCTCTGGTAATCAAAGTACAGCAGGTCCTCAAACAATGAGGTTTCAATATGATGTTGATGAGAGAAAAAAATTGAACCCCAGTTGGGGCCACTGTCGGTGGAGTTTGCATATTCTCCCGGTGTCTGCGTGGGTTTTCTTGGGGGACTTCGGTTCCCTCCCACATCTCAAAAAGGGGCATGGAGGTGAATGTCTAAATGGTTCCCACCTGAGTGCGAGTGTGCCCTACGGTGGAAGGTGGTTCGCACCTGAGCTTCTGGGATAGGCTCTGGCCACCCACAACCCTGAACTAAAATAAGTGGGTTGGAAAATAATTATGTTACTTGTTTTTATTAATTTTTCTTTCAGTGTTTAATGTTAGAGGTCTTTGGGGTCTTTATTTAGATGTTTGGTGATGTTTTTGTGGCCAGAATTGAACCCTTGTTTGTGTCAGTAAGCCTACGGATAAATTGGTGTCATTATATCTTGTTTGGCTTGAAGTCACCGTTTCCAAGAACCTGTTGACAATGTTAGGTGAGGCCTTGCTGTACACATGATCTCTAGCTCCAGATTCTCAGTAGGCAAATCATGGCACTTAAAATTATAGCTATAATTACCTGAAATGTTTTGATAACCCAGTGGGGACAAGGTACATTGGAAACGAAGAGGAAGGGCTGACCTAGAATGTAGTGGGACTGAAAGGCTATCAGATTTTTGGAAAGATAAGCAGGAAAGGGCGGAGGCATTGCATTATACATATGCACATGATCCTGGCCGGAGAAATAGGAAACCGAATGAAAAGAGTTTTTGTGTGGAGGTAAAATGAGTAAAATGGAGCACTATGTGCTCTCAGTTGACATGCCAGGAACAAAAAGGTGAGACAGGTTTCTTTGAGCAAGCAGCAAGGGATGGTGAGGGAAAATACTAAAGACCAATATATTTTTTAAAAGACCAATATATATACATGCTTTTAAAAAAGTAACAGGTCACCAATATCAGACAAGTACCTCCACGTTTGAAGAATTTGGTTCTTCATTGTAGGAGTTTTTGTAATCAATCAGGGCGGACGCCTTTGTTGATTTGTTATTTCTGGTAGAAAAGAATGAGGCAAGAGCCTGGAGGGAGGCAACAGCTTTGCTGGAGGTGACCATACGGTGATGAAAGTTGGGGTTGTGTCGCACAGGGAGCTGTTTCCACACATAGTGTGCAAGCAGGGCATGTGTGCCCTGGGTAAAGGTGGGAAAGAGATGTTTTCACTCCTTTAGTTTCTTCTGGTTTGGAGAATCTGCCTCTCACCAGCTGTGTGAACTCCAGCAAGTTTAAAACCCCCACCTGTCTGTTTCCCTATCCATGAAATGGGAGTGAAGACTAGTAGTTCCTGTTGCTGAGGTCTTTTATTATTATTATTATTATTATGCTCACTGAGGTCTTTTATTTTATTATGTTTTTATTGATTTGAGAGAGAGGAAGGGAGAGGAAGAGAGAAACAGTGATGTGCTTTTGGTGTCATACCTAAGAAGGCTTTGCCTAACTCAAGGTTACAGAGATTTACTTCTGTATTTTCTTCTAAGAGTTGTATAGTTTTAGCTCTTACAGTTAAGTCTGTGATCCATTTGGAGTTCATTTTATACATGGTATGAGGCAGGGATCCAACTTCATTCTTTTGCGTGTGGAGATCCAGTTGTCCCAACAAGAGACTATTCTTCCCCCATTACGTTGTCTTGGTACCCTTGTCAAATTAATTGACTATAAATGTGAGCGTTTATTTCTGGACAGCGTGAAACTTTTAAAACATTTATACTTGCAAGGGATGGGGGAGGGAGAATTAGTGATTAGGGGGGCTTCAGAGGTACTGGGAATGTTCTGTTTCATGAACTGAGTGTGTTTAGTTTATGAAAACTCACGATATACTTAAAATAATGGACTTTTTGTATATTATACTGCAATAAAAAATTATGTCTTTTTTAAGGAGTTTATTGGCTGTTCCTTTATTCAGTGTACCAGTTACTGTTGCTTTGTAACAAACCTTACTCATGTAAAATAATCATTTCATTGTACTCACAGATTCTGTGGGTCAGGAATTCAAAAAGAGTACAATGGGGACGGTTCCATGATGTCTCGGCCTCACCTGGGAAGACTCAAAGGCTAGAGATGACTCAACATCTGGGGTTGAAATCAGTTGCAAGTATCTTCATTCATGTGCCTGGTGGGTTTTCCTGGTAATTGGCTTTGATCTCAGCTGCTTTGTTGCTTGGAACATCCTATACATGTTGTCTCCCTACCTGGGGTTGGGCTTCCTTACAGTATGGCTGCTGGGTTCCAAGGGCAGGTGCCCCGAAAGAACCAGGCAGCAGCTATATTGGCTTTTATGGCCTAGCTTCAGAAGTCACACAATGACTTATGCCAGAGTCAGTCTGCCACGATTCAAATGGAGGGACACACACCCCATTTCTCTCTTTTTAATCCTCGCCTGAGGACATTTTTCCAGTTGCTTTTCAGAGAGAGCAGAAGGGAGAGAGACATCTATGTGAGAGACACATCGACTGGTTGCCTCCCACACTGGCCCCAACAGGGGCCGGGGATAGAGCCTGTATGTGGCCTTGGCCAGAATTGAACCTGGGACCCTCCAATCTGCGGGCTGCCACTCTAACCACAGCCAGACCAGCCAGGGCACACCTCATCTCTTGATGGGAGGAATGTCACAATATCATTGTAGGAAGGCCATGTAGATTAGAATACTGTCATGGCCGTCTTTGGAAAATAAAACCTGTCACACCTGGACACCTGAGCACTACTAGAAAAAAAATATAACAGAAAAATTAATTCATGATTCCAGCTCCAACTGAAACCCTGACACCACCTGGCAATCCTACATCATTTCTCTGCTGAACTTGCTTCAACTTGGCAATGGTTATTTCAAACCTCCTCTGCTGAGGTAGGCACGACGTACGTCACCTAACACTCATTCCTAACCCTGTCCCTGTCCACGTCAGGGAGGTGAGAAAAGCTAAACACTTTCCTGGCCTTTCTTGCATCTGTGTGTCATGGTTCTGGCCAATGAGATGAAGCAGAAACCTACGGGGGCACTTCTGGGCAAGCTCTTGCCTTGAACAAGAAAATGATGCACGAAGTGGAGGCAGCCAGCCATACTGTGACCCTCTGGGAAAGGCCCCCTGCTCTCTACCTCCTGCCTTTATTCTCTGCAGATGATCCCTCCTCCTTTTCAGAGCAAAGTCTTCAGCTGGTCATTCTCTTTCTTGTCACCAAACCTAGTTACCTGCTTGCATGCCATCCTGCTTCCTCCTTGCCTTCCATTACAATAGAAGAGGGGTCCCTACTCCATGGGTGGGGGGGCCAATAGGGAGATGCCAATCTTGCATCCATTTCACCTTTCTGGTTTGGTTTTCTGATAGCCTTATGTTCTGGCTTTCTATCACTCACTAGCTATGTGGCCTTAAAGAGGCCATTAAAGTAGTAAATATTTGTATCCCGTGGGTTCTAAACCCAACACAGGCCCTGCCAGGGCTAGGAAAGAGACAGCCCAAGTAGAGAGAAAACCACAAGGCAGGGGATGGAGCCTTGGAGGAACCGAATTCACAGTGAGGCTGGGGGGCAGGGCTTGGTTTTAACCCTAAATCATCGGGACAGGAAGTGAATCTCTCTGAGCCTCAATCTCTACTTCCAAAAATACGTTTTAGAACTCCTGTACTTGCCTCCAAGCTCCTTACGGGCAAAAGAACTGTGTTTTTACGCATCTTTGTATCCACGTGGTAGGTGCGTAATAAATGCCTGTTGGATGAATAAATGATCCTAGGGAGTCTCCACAGACTTCAGTTATTTTTTATTTATTCATTTATTTTTGTTTAAAATGTTACAGATGTCCCTTTTTCTCCCCAATGGCCCATTCCGCCCTGTCCCACCCCTCTCCCCAGTCTCTCTCCACACAGTGTCCGTGTCCTTGGGTTGTGCATATATGTGTGTGAGTTCTTTGGTTAATCTCTCACCCTCCACCCACCCAGACTTCAGTTATTAAATCAATCAGGGGATGGGAAAGAAGCGATGGCCGAAGGCGTTAGAGGTTTCGATGATACTGAGTACCAGAGAGGGAATGTGACCTCCCCAAAGTCAGAGTAATTGGTAGAGCTGGACAAGGGCAAGCTGTAACTGAAGAGAGGTCTTTCAGTTACACTCTTCGGAAGCACACCTAAGATCTTTGCAAATCATCTTATGGGGACAAAATGCCTAAAGTCAAAAGGAGCCGGGAAGCTCCCCCAGATGGCTGGGAGTTGGTCGAGTCAACACTGGATGAATTAGGTCAAAAGATGAGAGAAGCTGAAACAGAACCTCATGAGGGAAAGACAGAAGTGGAATCTGTGGCCTATCTTCAGGATCCACCACCAGAAAAACCGCTATATCTCTCACCTCTTCTATAAGGGGAAAGCCATAAGCAGAGAACTTATATGAATATTGTATTAAAGAAGGCTATGCAGAGAAACACCTGATTGCTAAATGGAAAAAGCAGGGTTATGAGAACTTAGGCTGCCTGCGGTGCATTCAGACACGGGACACCAGTTTCGGGATGAACTGCATTTGCCGGGTCCCCAAAAGCAAGCTGGAAGTAGGCCGGATCATTGAGTGCACACACTGCCGCTGCCAGGGCTGCTCTGGCCGAGGCCCTCACGCCCTGACCCCTCTCCACCCAGGAGTCCACAGGTTTCTGCCTGTCCTGCCGGCCCCTTTCCTGACAGCAGCTCTTCTCGCAGAGCAATGCCCCAGGACTGAGCTGGGGCATGGTCTCTACATGTGAAGGCTTTGGTGTTCATCAGCTGTGATTTGTAGAAATAAAACTCTTAAACCTTAAAAAAAAATAAAAATAAAAAAATAAATTGCCCGGCCAGATGTGGCTCAGCAGTTGAGCATCAACCTAGGAGCCAGGAGATAGCGGTTCGATTCCCAGTCAGGGCACAGGCCCGGGTTGCCGGCTTGATCCCCAGTCAGGGGTGTGCAGGAGGCAGCCGATCAATGACTCATCATTGATGTTTCTCTCTCTCTCCTCCTCCCTTCCTCTCTCTGAAATCAATAAAGATACATTTTAAAAATAATAAAA